TAGCAATTTTTCTGTTTACCAAAAACTTTAAAAATTGAGACGGTGATCGGTGAACAATTGAAGGCTGGGATGTTGGGACTTTTGAAAAGGAAGGGTCAATGATTGCAATGGTGGCGATGGAGGTAATTTCTGGTGAGCGAATCGAGCAAAAATCGTAAAACTAAATAGACTGTTACAGCCAATTGGCAAGGCAATCGAGGGAGGGGTGGTATGAGTTTTGGTCAGGAGGATAAGGGGCGTGTTTTTGTGGTGATGGGGAGTGTTGTCATTGCCAGAAATAGACATTTGCCTTGGTTTGTCAACACCCGCGGTGGTGTTTGGGGTGTTTTCACAAGATTTCAAATCTGTAGGGACTTATCAATATTTAGGGGTGTTTTGTTATATTTCAAACTTCTATACACCAGTTTGACTCGCCGGTTAAACAGGTTAAATCGGTCAACCCGAGACTCGACCATTTTGCAGATAAACGACCGTTAAAAATGTTTGCTGTAAGGATAATTTGATGCCCAAAAAGCTTGAAAATGACAATTACCCACATTCTGTCAAAATCTTTTAGTAAAATCCGTTAAGTAAATGGTATCATTGGGTGCGTTTGGTTTATTATTTTGGATAGGATTTTAGGAATAATATTGGGTAGTTGGATAGGGGAGTATTACGAGGTAAAATTTAAAAATTTATGAAAAAGCCCCTAGGTTTGCTAATTTAATTAAATACCCTAATATATAAAATGACAAAAACACCCCTACCAACTGCAGTGTCAGATTCCGGTCACCACCGTCGGAATCTGGTCAAAAAATCGCGTTACGACATAGACCGATTGGATCTGTGTCGTAACGCGTCCTTATGGCCTTTTCCGGCCAGATCTACGACCTGTTGTGGCTGTGACGGCCGGAAAAGGCCAAAACGATGGCCATCTTTGGTCGTCAGCGACGGCCAAAAATATAGTCGTCGTTTTCGATCAACGATGGCCAAGATTTGGCCGTCGTTGACCTCAACGACAGTCATTTCTTTAGCCGTAGTTCATGGCTAGATCTGGCATTTTCCACGGATTTAGTCGAAAAATGCCAGATCGGTGAACTTCCGGCCATTTCTGGTCGGTAAATAGGCCGTTATACAGATTCCAACTACCACCGACGGTGGTTGCCAGAATCTGGCAAGTATGGGTCGTGGGGATGTTTTTGATAATTTTTAAGCTTTTATTTTCAGGGTGTATTTAATGAAATTAATAACCGTAGAGGGGCTAAAAAATTAAAAATAGGGTAATATTTATGGAATAATGTGCCAAACATTATTTGGAGAAAGAGATTGAGAATATTGGCAGAAATAATAAGCCATACATGCCCAATATTCTTTCATGGGCAATTTTGACTTTTAATATTTCAGGATTTCTGCATAATGTTTTTTTTTTTAAATTTGCATTAAAAAAACGTAAAAAAAAAAAAAAAAAAAAAGTCGGTCCAAATCTCTCTCTCTTATTCTCTTCCTTCTCTTTCTTTCCTTTCCTCTCCCTCTTTTCCCTCCGGCCACTAAGCAAGAACTCGGCACCGGAATATGGACTAGAAGCTAGCCAGATCGATAGCCTCTCCGCTCTCTGTCTTCCCGTCTTCATCTTCTTCGTCTCTCTCATAAAAAGGGGGGAAAAAAAGGGTCTTTTTAGGGTTATGATTTGATTTTTCTTTTCTTTCTGTGTTTTTGTTTGTGGGTGTGGTGAATTCGGGGCTAATTTTGGGAGATAACTTGTGGGTCGTTTGGGGCTTGTGGTGGTTTTGAAGAATTTGATGATGGGTTGATGAAGATTAGGGTTTTTTTGGGGATATCTCTGGTGGGTTGGCTTTGGATTGAGGTTTTTTTGGAGGATTGGTGGTGGGTTGATTGTTATATATTGGAGTTTTTAGGGTTTAATCTTTGGTGCGTATTGTAAATATTGGTCGGTTTTTGCAGGTTTTTGAAGTGGGCTGGTGATTATTCTGGGTTGTATATAGGCTAAAGGTAAAAGAATTAAAAAAAAAAAGATTGTATTTTGTTGAGGTTTATCTTTTAAAGGGCTTGAATTTGAACTATATTTTCTGTGTTTGGGCTTGAATTCTGTGTTGTGGTGGGGATTTTGGTTTCTGAGGTTAAGATAGATAAGAATGACTACTAAGAAGGATTGCTCGTGTTCTTCTTTCTGATGTTCTTGGTCAGAATTGCATCAAACCGAGTGTGATTTTGCTGGCCGGATGCGATTCCAGGCCGCCGTGGTTCTGGCAAGAGATGAAGAAGGAATTTTAATTAAAATTAATTATAAAAATAAAACAATTACAACTGAGAAGGAGGATTTTTATAAAATTAATATTAAAGAGAGAGAATGGACACGTGGCCAATGCAGAATGTTAGGACTGCGTTTGGTTGAAAATTTGGGGGTTTTGGGAAAAGTTTTTTGAAAAAAGTTAAAAAAAGTTGAATTGGGCGGGTATTACGAGGTAAAATTTATAAATTAATAAAATCTCCTTTATGTTTGTTTTTTTTACAAAATACCCCTTATAATAAAACATTAAAAGTTAACAAAAATACCCCTAACCTACCCTCAAACACCCCCAGCCGGCGACCACCACCGGAGGTGGCCGGAGTCACCGTATGGGCGCATGACCGGTTGGATCTTGCCGGTCATGCGTCGCTATGGCCTTTTCCGGCCAGATCCACGGTGGATCTGGCCGGAAAAGGCCAGATCTACGGTCAGATCTGGCCGTCAACGGCCAGATCTGGCCGTATTTACTCTCAACGACGGCCAACAAACGGTCGTCGTTGATGGTCAACGACGACCGTTTGTTGGCCGTCGTGACCGAGTGTTACGGCCAAAGATCTGGCCGTCAACGGCCAGATCTTTGGCCTTAGATCTGGCCTTTTCCGGCCAGATCCACCGTGGATCTGGCCGGAAAAGGCTAGATCGGCGCACTGCCGGCCAGATTCAGCCGGTAGTGCGCCATTCTACCAGATTCCGGCCATTTTCCGGTGGTGGTGGCCGGAATCTGGTAAATTTGGATTATTGGGGTGTTTTTGTAATTTTAAAAAAAATATTTAGGGGTATTTAATTAAATTATCAAATTTAAAGGGTTTAAAAAAAGTTGAATAATTTTGGGAGTAATATTCCCAAAAATCTGAAATTTTGGGTAATTTACTGTTTAACTTTTTTGGGAATACTAAAAGTAGTATTCCCAAAAGTTTACCAAACGCAGCCTAGATTTTTTATTTTTTGGTTGGATATAAAATTACCATATTTTCCTTTTTAAATGAATTTTACTAACGATTTGGATGGAATGTAGGTAATTATCATTTTCAAACTTTGTAGGTATCAAATTGTCTTCCGGCAAACCATGGGTGGATGCATCTTGTTTGGCTTATTTAATTAGTCTCTCGCCTCAAGTTTTAAGAAATTAATCAATTATAGTTACCAACATAAACAGATAGACGACTGTTAAAAATGTTTAAAAGTTTGTTTTATCCTTATTGTAATAATATTATTAAATATTTAACATTTACATATATATTAAAAATTATCGACACAAATTACATTTTCCTAATGTTCTAAAACGCAACCCGAGATGAAACTTAGCAACGTTGTCAGGTCTCAGGTTGACCGGTTTGACCATTGCTCAAACTGGTAGACAAAATTTTTTAAAATTTAGCAAATACACCCCTAAAAATTATGTTAAGTCTTTATAGGTTTTAAATTTAGCAAACATACTCCAAATACAAATCGACTGACGACGATACCCCAAATGGAACCCCAATCGTCCCTAGAGTCCATTCCCTTGAAAATCTATCTACGATCTAGTTGATATCGGTTCAATTTAGGACAAATCTCACCGACATCGACATCGATATTGACAACTCTTTCCAACACCTCGAAAATACTCCCCTCTTCTTTCCGACCAAAACCTGCCTCACCCAACCCCTATTAGCCTTGCCAATCGTCGGCAAAAACCTGTTATTGCCGTTGCTAGTGTTTTTCGATTTCCGACCGATTTACTCATTGGAAATCAATTTCGTTGTAACCGTTACACGCACCGATACTTTCCAACATACCTTCAATTGTTCGCCGATCATCTTCCCAAATTCCTGGGTTTTTGGTGAATAGAAATAGTGTAAACTCGACCCAATAAGGCTTCCGGGTCCCGATTAAACCGGGTAGGCCAGGGTTTTAAAACAGTGCATTTTCCTTCTTAAGTATAATGTTTATTATATAATATTAATTTAATAATCCTTAAAAATAAATTTTTATATATGTATTAAAACAGTTTATTTATTAATTATTATTAAAACTAAATATTTATTTTCTAAATGATTATTTGTTGATATGGTATTTTAATCATTCTACATTTTAAATAATGGATTATATTTAATTATTTTGCCAATTATTAAATTAAGATTAAAACAGACTTTCTTGACTTTTTTTAGAAGTCAATTAACGAAATATGTTAATAAAGGTGATTTTTTAATACCTTGAAACTTCATAAGGGAGACTAATTAAAAGCCTCAAACTTACCATCTACTTACCTAACGAAATTTTAAATTGTAAAGAGGGTTAATAATTATTCAATTGATTACTAAGTATACATATTTGGAAGGGCAATCATAGGGGATGAAAACTTTACTCGACGGCGGTTAATTTTTTTTCTTTTTGTGTAGTTCATGTTTTTACATTTATATATTCTCTGTAATTTATGCTTTTGTATTTTTTATTTATTTTTATTATCTAGTCTTATTTTATGATTAGGGCTCGTTGCGTCCTCTATCTAAATAGTAAATACCTTCTTGAAATTACAATAACTTTTGAGACTTGATTATCTGTCCAGGTGAATCATGAATGAAATAAACCACTAATTTTAAATGATATTATATTATTTATATCAACTAACAGCAACGCGATGTGTCATTTCTCATTAGGGGTAACATGGTAAAACCAATAAAAAGCATTTCTAAGCGCAGCGTTTTACCTAAAAATATCTTCAAGTAACAGTACCGGCTTCAACAACGCACCCGTCACTCGAAACGCTTCGGTTTTGTTCTTTTTCTGTTTTTGCATACAACCGCCCTTAGCACTTTGGACATCGAAAGTTGCAGCTTTTCTAAAGTTAATGGCGGAGAAACCCCAACCGGTTCGGGTCCTGTACTGTGCGGTGTGCAGTTTACCCGCAGAGTACTGCGAATTCGGACCCGATTTTGAGAAATGTAAACCCTGGTTGATTCAAAACGCACCGGATCTTTACCCCGATCTCACCAAAGGTCCCAATTAATCTCCATTGCTAATACCCACTTTTCCGTTTTAATAATTGTTTTAATTGGTCTTTTATCTTATTGGCAGACTCAAGTTCAAAGGAAGTTGATAAAGCTACCGAGCAGTTACAATCGACTGGCATCTCCTCGGCTGCATCATCAGGTCAGCTTATATTTCTTTCTTTTTGTAAAAAAAACAAAATTTTCTAGCTTCTGTTAAGATTTTTATTCTTTATCTTTGCAATAATATTTACTTTTACAATTGAAAAATATGGAAATGATTGTTTGCTTGTTGAAATTTCTGATAAATTTTTACCTCTTTGTTGTGTTGAATGAGTTGAAATCTTTCTCTCGTAGAGTTCAAATGTGTATTTTACGTCATAATGTTTGTTTCTATTAATGGTGATGTTTTGTTGCATAATGATGATTGATTTTAGATGATGTTATGTGCTTCATAGTGTAATTTAAATTATATCACGATTTAACTTCTGGGTTTTTATTCAAATTAATGATTGATACATCGTTTACTTCCTCTATCTCTGTGTCTGTGTTAATGGCTACTTTAGCAACTAAGCAAGAAGAAGTCAAACGCCTTCCTGGTGGAAAGATAAAGAAAAAAGTAAGAGTTAACTTCTTTCGTTTTAAACCAATTGCATAAATAACATCGTCTCATAAAACCATCCAAATGCTATTCAATATCATCACAACTTGAAGCAAGTATAATTGATTTGTGCTTTAAATTCTTTTTTCAGGATAAGAAAGAAGTTATTATTGAAAAAGTTGTTCGTAACAAGCGAAAAAGTATCACTACTGTGAAAGGCCTGGAACTTTTTGGTGAGATATACCCTGCTTTTTTTATTTTATTTTTTCTTCAAATTATGAATTATTATTTTTTATAATTGTCTTTGGCTAAGTTTATTGGATCACATTTCAGGTGTTAAACTTAGTGATGCTTCAAAGAAACTTGGGAAAAAGTTTGCTACAGGAGCATCTGTTGTTAAGGTGCTTGTTGTTTTTGTCTTTAAGTAATCTACTATCCTATAAATGCTAATTATGTTTTTTGTATCCTGAATTGATGGTTTTAGGGACCGACTGAGAAGGAGCAGATTGATGTTCAAGGAGATATATCATATGACGTTGTGGACTTTATCACAGAAACCTGGCCTGATGTAATATACTCTTATCATTCTCTCTCCTCTTCAATTTTATGTTTTGATTTAGATTTCACCAGTTATTTGCTTAGTTACAATTGTATGTGAAATTCTTTAATTAATTTGTAAAGAAGGGAGGTGTGCCTTTGTATATTTCGAACTTCTGCCAAATGTAGGTGCTGTACACACAAGAAACTAACAGATGTGGCTATTAATATCTTTTTCATGTATACATTGTCTAAATTCTTCTCTGCCTATCACAACTATAACTATTACAATCTTGGTAATTTATGGGACCTTGATCATATTTCAAACTGCCATAGAAAGAAAAACTCACAAAACTTGGCATTTTAGCTGAAGTACCTATTCATTTCAGTTCCTGTTATTGATTTATGTGCAGTCTTCATATAGCTTTGCTTATGAGGCTGTGAGTCAAATTTTTTTGGATGTTGTATTTCATTTCTAGAAGCAACACAGAGAAAAGATTGCTTTTCATCTTTTCCCCTCTTTTGGTTATTTGGGTACGGGTTTGGGGAGTTAAAGGCATGGCAATAGGCTTTGCATGTCTTATCAAAACCTCAATTTGATGGCTTTATATAGGTCTAATACTAAACTCAGATCTGTCAATGTTGAAACTTGTTTATGATGAGAGCCTTGAGGATTTAAACTTTCCGTGTATATATTGTATTCCATGTCCTCTTGCTAGAATACGATATAGTTTATGGAAAAGCTTACTAACCATTTTCAAACTTCCATGGCTGAAATTCGTCTTCGTATAGAACTAAGTTTAACCTTAATCTAGGTATATTGCTTTGGTGAAATTAGAAATGTGATCAGTGGTGGAAAAAAAATGTTGTTCAGCAAAACCTTATACATTTAGGGATCTTGAATTCGTTGACAAATGGGAACCTTGGTCGTAGTAATTTACCATTCACATTGGTTGTCTGGATTTGCACATGTGATCATCATAAGATTGTAATGGTCTTTGCATTGTCTGAATGTTTTAGGGATATCATTGCGCTTTTAGGTTTGATCCCCTTTTTTTGTTTGTTTCATGCTATAGATTTTCTATGTCAAGTATTTGAAGATGGAATCTTGTTAAATTAGCAGATGGCTTTTTAACTTTGTCTCCTTATTTTTTTCCCCTTTTCCTAGGTCCCTGAAACTGCAATCTTCTTTATCGAAGATGGAAAAAAGGTCCATGCTGCTTGACTTTGAAGTAAAAAGGCTTATAAACAATGAATTATGGTATCTTCTTTGCTTCTCAATCAATTCTCATGAGAGTTGCTGTATTTACTCGCAAAGTAAATGCTGCTTGACAGAATCTAATGGCTAGTGAGACTTTTTTCGCCACTTATAATTCTTCTGTTACTTTTGTTTCCAAATGGTTTGCTTTCCGTTTAAAGTGTGTATTGGAACTAATGGATATGATTATTATGAATATACACAGTTAATTCAGATGATGTTTGCATCTGGTTTGTATTCACATTAAAGGTTATAGGTATATTTTAGAAGTTCTCGTGTTGGCTTTATAAGCAACAGATTTTCCAAGTATGTTATTTAGTTTTACTTTGTAGTTCGTTATACACCTGTAATGTTATGCTCCTGTTGGTGGCTCCTGTGGACTATCAGTCTCATATACAGGTGGTTATGCACCTATAATTTCATCATAAGTTTTGGTGAAATCAAGGTTTCAACAAACTCTTGCAGGATCTAAGTTGACTGGTGGTTTTGACCATTACAAACGTAGAGGCATGCACATTATCTATGTTGGTAAATGCACTTGCAAAAGTTGATGCATGAATGCTACTAATTGCTGTTATGTGATTAGTTGAAATGGTGGAATTGAGTTCTTGAGTAAATTACATCAAACTCTCCTGCTAGCTTTTTTAACTGCTCATTCCAAGTTGACGATGTCACTTTAATAATAGACATGGAAAAAGTTTGAAGTCAATTTATAGTCTCTACCAATATTGACGAAAGGGATAAAATTAATATGTTGCTCCCTTTTAACAAAGATAAGAGGCTGATTCTAAATTAATTCTGTTTTATATGCTCAACATTTTGATATTAATTTATAAATGGGAGCCATGAATAGAGGATGCAATACAATTTTGAAATAATAGGAGATGACTTTGTAATTATCCTAAACCACAGGATTATAATAAAACCCTTAACTCAGTATTTTCTTGTGTCTGCTTTATCATCTCTAAGTTTAATGATGTTTAGGCAATATTTGGTATACTTTTTAAAGGCAAATTGTCAAATTCAGTAGAGATAATTCAGAGAGTAATAGTACAGAAAATTAAGAACTGCTTTCACCTTCAAGGCAGTGTGTCAGTAGAATTCTACTGTTACGTTCCCATATTTCTGTCATATTTTTTATTAAAATCATGCTTGCATTCTCTGTCATGTTGGTGTCTTTCAAATCAGTTTGAATAAGTAGTAATGCTGTGGAAAATAAGCTTGTAACACTTTACGAACGATCAGAATGGATTTGTTGTCCTATTCTTCATTCTAGATGTTCATGTGGAATCATTAAGTGGATTAATTCTGTGGAGGATCTTTTAACCTCTATATCCTACTTGGTATGAATGATGATTTGGATTACAATGGCATCTTTTGGCTTTGTGAGCCTATGGGGTGGAGAATCTTTTGCCTCTCTAGCTCCCTGACTCAAAATTTGAGACTTACAGCTGGAGAAGAATTCAGAAGGATGCTACTTTTACATACAAATTTTCTCCATTTCTCTAACAATTCATTTCGATTGTTGAAACAGAGGTACTTAGTTGGGAGAAAAAATAATAAAACTAGCATAGGAAGTAGGACAATTTTAGATTTGGGACAGGAATTGGCTTAAATCTTGTCATGTGATGTGAGAGTCCCATCTTAATGTCATGGAATCCGATTTGTTGTACCCTGGATGCATTAGCACTAAACATGCTTGCAAATGTTGAAATGAAGTCAAAACAGATGATTTTGGGTAGATTTTATTGCAAGCTTTGTCATTACTGTCATCCAGCGCATTGTCATCATGCTCTCTTAACAGCCTGGTCCAGACCACCCATCATATTTTTGTTTCAAGGTTTGTTGTGTTGAGTACATGATTTCTTTGTTTTCTTTCTTATTGAAATTTGAAATGGCCGTAGCATGTTTTGGACAAGCTTTGTGTAAATCACTGACTCATGTTCACATCTAAAAAGTGATTAATACAACCCTTAAGTTGTCTCACATTCATTAAGCTGTTCCATGTGTTCTTTTTTGTCTCTATTATGGCATTTGTAGTTTTTGTTGTATGTGTTGCCCGGATTTCATCCAATGATGTGGTTTCTGTCTTTATTTTGGTTCTGAAGCACCATAGATTGCCTAAGTCCTCAAACATGGAGGAAGATTATGAATAAATAGTTATATAAACAACATATGAATCTCTTTCCAGATAGATTAGATTTTAACCGACAAGGATCTATAATATCTGCATACCTTAATATGTCCCGGGGACTAAGGATAATTAACAATCGTTAAACTTGTTAAGAGTTTTCGATCAAGAAAACAGGGGCTTTAACTTTTCAGGCTCCTGTATATGAATTTGGAAAATAGTTTGCAGTAGGAGCATGAAGGTTGTCGGCTCTATCCGAACATGACCGCAAGGAGCACAGTAGATTTGTTTGTTTCTATGTATGACCGTAAAATGACACCATTGTCATACACATTTATCTCCTTCTCGTGTCACAATTCCAACATTGAAAAATGAAGCCTTAAAAGCTCTGCATTTTCTGATATTCAATGGAATTATACAAATTATCCACAGGATATTAACAAGAACTGGAGAAGTTAGAAAAATTAAGGGATTCTTGTAATTCTAATCATTACACGTTGTTATATTGTTTTTCCTTTATTCCTGAAATTACTCATCTTTAATCTAGATCTATTCCGAGTTTAAGTAAAAGGTAAGGAGTGATTTAGTTTAGAGAAGGGTAAGCATTTTCACTAAGAAAATATTAAGAAGAATCACTTTTTGAGTAATGAGTTGGCAAATGTCTCTGTCTAACAATGGGAAATAATTTAATATTCGGCAAACAATTCTCATGGAGTATTATTTATATACTACTTGTTTTGAGTAGGGACTAGGGAACATGTGTTTGTGGATAGGTGGCCCAATGGAAGGTTTAGTCCAGCTGGAATAACAATAGAAAAAACCATGGAGGATGACAATAGCTTTAGCCCTGGTTGGATTTACACCTGACACTAGAATGACGTTGAAGATCTCTCAGAATCTACTTGGAAGTGACTAGCTTGGAATCATCTTACATGACCAAGTACTATCTGAACCTCAATCGCCCGTCCCCCCTATATTCAATTCAAGGTGGCGGTCGCTGAATTGCTTTCTTTTCAGGAAAAATAAAATAAAATTATATGTGTTAGCTCCCCCCAAACTTCTCAAAAAGACCAGTCTCAGTCTTGCTAATTTCATCAGTCAACAAATTCAAACTTTAATATAATTTAGACATGTTTCATCCTCCCGTGTCTTTTCTGAAATTTTCTAGATCACCTAGCCATCACTTGGCTGCCATGCATCCTTCCAACAAAGTACTTTAATTTAGTCAAATTATTTTATGTGGAAAATTTACATAATGTTTCTAACTGAGAGAGAGAGAGAAAGAACTTGGAAATTTCCCTTATGCAACTGGAGATGCGCATGACTTTTACAGTCCCATCATCAGCAATAATGCCATCTAAGAATTTTCGGTTTTTCTTTTTGAAGAGGATCGGACGGTTATAGTTTAACCTTGGAAATAGGATGGATTGTGGAGGCGGGAGATAAATAGGGTTAATCTTTGAGGAAGATCCGCTAAGTGACAGGTAAAAATGAAAACGAACGACTGATTCAAAATCAAAATGCTCCACTAAAGAACAGAACCAATGTACTTGGTACACGTAGCTGCGATGCGATAAGAAAATATGAGAATGAGACAGATAGTTGACAGAGTATTTACACAAAGTACTTTAAACTTTGATATATAGGAATCAAATCTCTCCCGATTCTGGCTCTGGACCCAACAGTTTGAACTTACATCTATCTATCAAAGTTGATTGATTGAGCGAACCAACCATCATCATGTGAAACACACATAATCACCGTCAACAAAAACACGTTAACACATGTGATGTCAACTGAATTTATCTATCTGAATCTTAATCAATACCAAGCCAAAGGGATTAAGGGTAGTAGTAAACGTTTTCAATGGACTCAGTTGGAATGCAAGTGTATAAGAAGGTGTGAAACTAAAAGACATGAGATTTGATGAATGATGGCTGAAGGTTATAGAGTCAAAAATGGTTACCTCAGTGATGGAGACTAGACAATATACTAGCTTTTTTAGACCTTTAAGTAAAATCAACATGGCATTGAATAGGGTTGGCTAACTAGGGTTTCATTATTATCTCTTTTAGAAAGAAAACCTAGCTATACGCTATAGTACATGGAATCGATCATTAACCATCAATTCTATGTAAGCAAAAACAAATTTAAGGTGTTGTCATGGAAGATAATCAATGGTAATATTAATAATAAATTACATAATTAAACAGTTTATGGAGGAATTAGAATCGCCCGTCCTGTCTGCTCGTAATCTCTGTCTAAAAAGCACCCTCTAGTACAGACAGTGACAAAGCATGTTAAAACTGACACGAGTTGCTGAAACCAGTGGGTCTTGCTTGTCAAACTTTTTGAGTTGCCTTCTCCCCACGGGCATCCATCCATACAATACAATTATCCAAAACCCTAGCCCACCTCTTCCCACACTTTTCTTTTAGCCTTCATCCATCGAAAAAGGATATGTTTAATTCCTACTGTATTTGTGTTTCTTCTCTCTATGGTTTAGATATGGATATCACGTTCTTGTACGTCTAATTACAACACAATTGTACTTCTCTCATTACTTTATTAACTCTTTCAATTGATTAAGGAGTAAAGAATTATTATATAAATATACTAGTGCTTTTGTTTTGAATAACTCTTTTGTCTTCTCGTTGGATTACATTATCATTTATAACTATTTATTTTTTAATAATTGATGTTTATTGTTAGATGCATGACAGCATTTAGTTTATGTTTTATTATTATTATTATTCTAATTTTATGCTAAACAACAACCAACGTGAGATAAGCGAGTCTATAAAGTTTGTTTTCTTTTTGGCTATTTATCTTTACAAACTACTTCTAATACTACACTTTTATATTAAATAATTCTACTTCAACCAAAATCGCATAATGAGTTTAGAAAACACAATTGATATTCCCTTCCTCTTCATATTGAGCTCATTTATTTATTGTATTTCTCTTACAATTAATAAACATTTTCATGCATATGTAAATGCAATTGCACGTATGGAATGGGATGATGAAGAGGAATCAAAATGATTTGTGGCGGTGGCTTTGCTTAGGACCACGTGATGTGGTTGTGGGGTGGCTTAGATTGAAGATCC